GTCATATCAAACCGCTCTAAACGTATCCATCATCCTTTGAATTCTCTCCACCGAACTCTCCTAACTGAAGTTTTTGTGGAAAATATATTATTATGTGGCAGGGCTTTTAATTTGTGACATATTAATCTAGAAGCTAATGAATGTGCAAAGCATAGGGCCTTAGAAGAAGTATTTTTCTTGTAACTGGCTACGTGCCTGCACAGTCAGAACAGGATGTACTCAGGATGTGTGCCACATATGATCCTGGGCCTCGTAGTGAGAACAACAGGAAAAACGTGGTATGAAAGGCAGTTGATAGCTTGTTATAGAAAATTACCAAAAAAGGAACTGTATCTAACTGTAACTGACGCATGTTATGTTATCTGCTTACGCATGAAGAGGGTGAACGCTGACATATAAAACAATAGGTTCAAGTGCTTTTCTTTGAGATCAACACGGAAGGTGCCATTGTGTAGATCTCCCATACATGTATGCTAATAAATAATTGTTGGTTAACTGGACCTGCTCTGAGTAGTGGTTGTTTGTTCTCAGCCCAACATCAAAGAATTCGGGACATTTTCTACTGCCATCTGTCACTTGATCACCAGCTTTCTGACAAACAGCAAACAGCAAGTGAAGACGGAAAACGTTGTTTCTTAAGTTTAGACAGGTCCTCGTCAAAGCTTTGCCCTCTACACCTCCAAGAACCCAGCCATTAAACTCCCAATGACCCAACAATCCCTGAACTTATCCAAGATGGTGATAAGTTAGATATCAGCAGGAGGTTGAGCAGACAACTGAGCCTAGCACCAAAAGGTGCTGGAGCCAGTGGCAACAAGTCCCTTAGTGGCAACATGGTGATGGTGATGATAAAAGTATCACTGAATATCTGTACATATAGCCCTTTTCCACTAGCTCAGCATGGCTCGAGTAAGTTTTTAGTGTTCTCCACCAGGTGGTAGTACCTGGTACCAGGTAGGGCAGGACAATATGGCCAAAAATATTTGTCACGATATATATTAGAAAATTTGCGATAACGATATAACTGATGCGAGACAAAATGTCAACACAAAGGTTTTTTTTTTAATTTGGAGCACATTTCTACAAGAAAGATAAGTTACCATATTTATTGGGCCATAATGTGCACCGGATTATAAGGCGAAACCAAACAGTTAGATAAGGCGAACTTTACTCAACTCATTCTTCTTGCTTCCTCTACTTCTGTACCATTGACTCATTAATGCTGAATTCTCTCGCAGCTGCTCTATTCCCATGTTCTACTGTGTGACTGATAGAGTTTGAAATCCACTTCATATGTCTCTTAGCAGGTGCCATTTTAGGGTCCTTATACACGTACAACA